GGGGTTGTGGTGAATTCTCCATTACTGGCAAACGAGAGGGAATTCAGGGGCGTTACGCGGGAGGGCAGACTAGATGATCCCAGTGGTCCCTTCTAGCCTAGGAACCTTCTGACGCGCTTTGGGATGGTTTGGAGCATTCCCAAGCTAGGGCTCCCTGCAAAAACACTTCTCTCGATACTACCCCGGCAGCCCGACCCCTCACCCAGCATGAAGCTATTCCCAACTTGCCTGCTGTTCCTGGAACGCACGTGTGAGCCGCGTTGGGGGAGGTGTGGGGGGGTGTGTAGGAATCCCATGGGGCGGTGACTTGGGGCTGTCTCTCTCTGGGGTGGGCAGGAGAATCATTGAGAGCGAATCAAAGCCCAGCAAGTGCTTCCATCATGGAGTCTTGCTGGTATCCAGGTGCCTCTACCACCTGCTTCTGTCTTCCTCATGGCTGTCAACTTGAATCCTTCCTCATACTGCCATAGGCAATGCAGCTGGGTCATGGTCTGCCTCAGTAGCCCCAGCCCGCCCTCCAGGTCCTGCTATGGCCAGCGTGCTGGCCGTCACCTTGCTAATGCCACTGTTAAACGTGTGCAGCCATGCCTCTTCCTCGGCCACCAACTCGGCTGCAAGGACCAGGCAAAGCTGTTGGAGAGGACAAGGCTGTAGGCCCATCTCAATTGCTGGGAGGGTTGGTTCTGCAGGCAGGTGCCACGGTATTGCTGCAGCTAGCTTCCAACATGGGCTGCACCAGATTCTCTGTCGCCAGGGTCTGCCACCACCGCAGATGGCTCTGCTGGAACTGCCGCTCGTTAAAAGATGGGCGCATGGAGTGAAACCTCCCAAAGCGGTTGGGCTGCTGGAGCCTGGTGGCTGGCCCTGTGAGAACAGGGGTAATTTGGAAGGCTAATTGAGGTAATAAAGTTTAGGATCCCCTCCCTGCTTTGCACATACTGTCTTTATCATCAGCTAACAAAGCCCGGCTTGAGCCTCCTTGCTGACTCATTGACGACAATTGTCCTGCTTGCTTCCTGGTGCATCAGCTGGAGATGCAAATTCAGAGAGGGAGCCAGGTGGGGTTAGGTTAGGGTTCAAGATGAGCATAAAACTTGGAGAGTGGAGAAGGCTTCTTGAACTGCTCATTGTCTCGTCTGTATCAGCCAAATCGCCGGCTTCCCCCGGCCCAACATCAAAATAGAAACCTACAACCTGGAAAGATTCCCCCAAGGTGGGAGTGGATCTATGGGTCGGGCGCTAATTGCGGGAGAAGGGAAATAACTGATTGGGTTCCAGTGTGGTCTGAAATGTCACCAGGAGTGAGAGAATGAAGCCAGCTGGGCATGGGACACTGAAGTCCGTACTTTAAAGAGATTTTTAAGGCTTGTGTACACGGGGAGTTATTCCAAAAGCTATTCCTGTCGTACTCCGGAATAAGAGCAGCACCCGCATGTGGGGGTAATCGGGAATAGTTAAACTGCTTTATATTCACACCCTGCCTTAGTCTGGATTAACTTCCATGTGTAGACGTGCCTTCTCCTCCATTTCCATGGCTTGTGGCTACTTTTTGTTTGCAACTGATTTGTTTTAGAGGTGATCAGACTTCCTGATTGAGGGGGGCAATTCACCGTGCCCTGACCGTTCAGCATGGAGTATTCAGTAGCATTTCGTAGCAATCGCTGTTGGAGCTGGGATGCTGGACACATTGGGCCCACAGGCTGCTGTGATGGCAAATCCTCTGTTCCTATATCTTCTTCGGTGGGGCGTTCTCAATGTTCGTTCTCCTAGGGACACGTTCCTGGCACTTTGGGGTTTGGAGAAGCCCCAAAGAGCAGATAATGCAGTGATGGGGTTGGGAGCATCTGATCTGGAGACTTGAGTTTGACCGTGGCCTGGGGGTTCTTGGTTGCCGGTCCTATCTCGTAGAGCTGGAAGGGACCTTGAAAGGTCATCGAGTCTAGTCCGCTGCCTTCACCAGCAGGACCAAGTACCGTCCCTGACAGTTTTTTGCCCTAGATCCCTGAATGGCCCCCTCAAGGATTGAGCTCACAACCCTGGGTTTAGTAGGCCAACGCTCAAACCACTGAGCTATGCTGTGGAGCTTCTGCAGCTGGTGGAGGAGTGAAAGGTGCTTCCTCCCTCCCGGTGCTTAGCTCAGCATTGTGAAGGAGACGGGGAAAGAGTTTCGGCCCAAAATGGAGGTTTTAAAAAGGAAATTTAAGATCCGCTTGTGAAGAGATTCTCTGACCAGGGAGGAACAAGGAAATGCAGCAAGGGTTAGAAATTAATCTTAGCCCGGGAAAGATGCTGGGTATGTGCGTGGGGGTGTGTGCGCGTGGGGGTGTGTGGGGAGGCTGTTTTGTTCCACCCTTGAAGGCTACCCTGTAAAGGGCAGAGCGCCTGTCACTTTCCACCCCGTGTGCCTCCTGCTGCCTCCAGGCCTGGTACCTCCCTCAGTGCTCTCCTAGCACCCCACAGAGCTTGTCCCTTTGGATTGTCAGCAAAGCAAACATCAGGCTTATCATTAACCGATCCCAGCCCTGAGCCGGCAGGGCTCCGGCCCTGCTTCTAGCTGGCACGTCCATTGCAACGGTTCTTGTCACGATTGGGAGCGAACCCTGCATTTGCCTCTGTAAATGGGAGGTGGCTGGTGTGAGGAGACCATTGGCCCGTGATCCGTAAGGCTAAGGTTTTACAGACTCTCTGGAGCCAGCCAGTCGCCTGCCCAGCTTCCCCCTCTGTGCTGTCCTATAACTTCTGCACCCTGACCCTGAGAACGGCTCTCTTGGTATGGGGCCAGGGCTCTCGGGAGGGAAGCCATCGCCAAATGCGGCTGGGGTGATTAACGCTGTTTAACCTCGTCCGCCAGAGCACGGCGCCAGAGAAAGAGGAAATGCCGCTGCAGTTATTGGAGAAGGACAGGGACGCAGCCTGATCTTTCTCGCCGCCGGGAGCTGGTGCAGGGAGCTCTAGACACAGATTACCCATGGGTTGGGATTGCTGCTGGCCCCAGGTTCCTCTCCCCAGTTACAATCCTGGGGACACTCTGCTCAGATCTCTCCAGGATGGGACGGGGATGAAGCCTGCCAGGCGAGACACTCCCGGGTGCGTGCTGTGAGCATGCAGATGCATGAGGCACTTTCAGCCCCCAGAAGAAGGTACTAGTTGCAGGAGAGGTGGAGGGACTTGCCCAAGGCTACACAATGAGTCGGTGGCGGAGTTCATGGTGGGCGAATCCTTAGCCCTCAGCCCCCCTGTGCCTTGCTGTGGCCACGCTGCTTTCCCGGATCAGGCTGGCTGCACAGCGGCGCTGGTGTGAAGTCTCTTCACATGGGCTTCACTCCAACTCGCCAGCCTCTCTGCCTGCTCCTCTGGCCCATGGGCTGTGTCTGCCTGTGCTGCATGGGCAGGTGGGGCACAGATAAGGAAGGGGCGAATCTCTGTGGAGACATTTACTCAAAGGGCTGCGTGTGCTCAGCACCCTTGAAGGATACCAGGCACTTCTGGAGCCCTGGGTGCAAATCCCGGCTTGGGTCCCAAGAGCAGATAAGCCCCACGTCACCTCCGTGGAGCGTGGTGCAACGTTTGGCCTAGTGGGCAGCCTGTCCTCGAGAGACCAGCGTGGAGTGGTGGTGGGGAGTTGGGAGAGTTGTGGTGCACGGTGCCTGGAGTTGGCCAGTCAGCCCTACCATGCCCAGGTGCCCATTTGTGCTTAGATGCTGCTGGCCCTTAGCACCTGGTTGCCTGGAGGTGCTGGTGACTCAGGTGGCCCGGAAGGTGATGGGAATTCTTCTCAACTGACTCTAAAACCCAAGATGAGATGCTGGGACTGGAGGGGAGCAAAACCTGGGGTGCAGAATGACAGCGGAGGGGGTGGAGCCAGAGAGTGCGAGGGAGGGGCCCCCTTTCACCCCGGGGCAGTGGAGTTATGGCACCAGGATTGTGCTGATGGAAGGATGCAGTTTCCAGAGCGAGGCTCGGAGCCGCTCCGGAGTGCGGCCCGCCGACTGCAGGCTCCAGCCCTGCTTTGCCGCTCCTGCTGGTCTGACCGCTCTGACTCCCACGGAGTTGCTCCCGCTTTACACCAGCGTTAGCGAGGAGATCAGGCCTTTCGTTTTCGGACGCTTTGGGAGGGAGGGATTGGGGGTCTCAGTTGCACAATGGTCCCAGAGACGCTGCGGTCCCTCCCCAGCCCAGCGGCTCAGAGCCCAGGCTGGCATCTCCGCCCTGTGAACAGCTGCCTGGTTTTCTTGGGGGGGAAAACCTTGCAGAGTGAGTTTGTTTGTTTTTTACTACCTGGTGCCCAAGAATGGCTGGATTTAGCATGTGTTGTCCCCAGCTCACCTTCCATCCAGGCTCAGTGACCGTCACTTGGCTAATGATCACGCTAGGGGGCTGTGACATGTGCCCCCAGGTTGTTTCCCCCACCATTGGCTGTTTATCTCACCAGCCTGCCAGCTCCCCCTCCTCCTGGGGGCTCCCCCTCCCACTTCTGGTCCTCCGGCAGCTCCCGGACATGACTGTACTTCAAAGGCGCTGGGGACTTGTGGGTCTGCAGCGCCACCTTCTGGCTGCTACTCAACATGGCAGCCCTGGGTCCCTCCCAGTTTGGGGCTGGGAGGGTCGCAGCCTTCAACGGCCGTTGGGTGGGATGGGGCAGTGGGGAGGGACGCGTGGTGGTGGGTTAGCACGTGGATGAGTGAGGACCGTTGGGCTGAATCCACTCCATCCTTCAAGGAATTTTGCCCACAGTCCTTTGCTTGGATTTCTGCTATGGTTCGTTTTTCAGGGGCTCACTCCTCTCCGCCCCCTCCGGTCCTGCCCTGTTGGGCCCATATTCCTCATTGATTGCAGCCCTTGTGCTGAGCTAGTCTCCCAGACACGTTGCAGTGGACTGGACCTCTCCCGCCAGCCCCTGCAATACCGAGAGGTTGGGTCTGTATCCCGCGTAGGGAGCTGGCTTTGTGCGGGCGACCATCCTGCTTACGCTTGGCTGTGGTTCTCTCCCCGTGCTCCAGGGTTGGTGTCCAAGTCTTCTCCCAAGAAACCTCGTGGCCGGAACATATTCAAGGCGCTTTTCTGTTGCCTCCGCACACAGAATGTCGGTCAGTCAGGCTGCGGTGGGGAGCATGCACCGCACAAGGAGGAACCCAGCACCATCGCTAAGGTAAGGGGGCTGCAGGGCAGGGGGGACCTGGAGCTGGGCTACCGACCCGCTAGACACCAGTGTGTTTGACCCCACATAGGACATGCCTGTGTCTTAAGAACGAAGCTTGTTTGTCATTGATCCCGGTAAACCAAAAAGCCAGAGAGTCTGGTTCTGGAGCCGTGCCGCAGATGCGAATGGAAGGAACCCTCATCCAAGCACAGCCCCCTAAAGTTGCACCCATCTCCCCCAAAACTCATAGAGCAGGTGTGTGTGCAGGTACCCCCACCTGTGTGATGGGAATGTTCCACCAGGTGGCAGCACTGGGCCCCTTCTCCATAAACAAGTGTGTGTGTGTGTGTGTGTGTGTGAGAGAGAGAGAGAGAGAAATATACCTGCTGCAGTTTCGTCTCTGAGCCCTTCCCTGCTTGATCTGTCTTAATTCTCATGTTCTCCGGCTGACCCAGTGCTTGTGCTGCTATTCATTAGCCTTTGATTATTTCTTAACTGATTTCTCTCCCCTTCTCTCCGGTGAGAATTGCTGTAAGCACGTGGCAGCAAATCGCAGGGGAGTTCTGTCCTGTCCCCGGATGGCTAGGGCTAAGGGGCGGGTCAGTCCCGCAGCCCAGTCAGGGCCACGCTGTCTCTCTGCTGCTGCCGGCTGTCACGCTAATACCTGTGTTTCTCCTCTTCTTTCCCGCTTTAGTCCGATCTGCTGCAGTGTCTTCAGTACCAGTTCTACCAGGTATGTGCCGAGCAGCCGCCGGGTATTTGGGTGGGTGGCTGAGATTCCCAGCTCCGATCTCCCAAGCAAAGGCCCCTTCCTCTCCTGCCGAAACAGGCCCTGATCCGAACCCCACAGTATCCGTGGGAGTCCTGCGGATTTTGCTGGGGTGTTGGCTCCAGCCCAGAGTGAACTGCCTTCCCAGGGAAGGTGGAGAAGCTTAAGACTGTACCATTCCCTTACTCCCCCTCGCTTCAAAGTTCCCCACTCGTCCCTGAGCATTGTGGGATGGGGACCGCTCCTCCACTGGAGAAAAGGGAAAGGTCGCCATCTCTTAGCGCCACCATCTCGTTGCCAGAGGGTGTTGTGAAGGCCAGAAGCATAGTTCAAAAGAGAACGAGATAAGTTCCTGGAGGAGAGGTCCATCAATGGCTATTAGCCAAGATAGTCAGGGACACAGCCCCATGCACTGGGTGTCCCTAGCCTCTGACTGCCAGAAGCTGGGACTGGACGACAGGGGATGGATCACTTGATAATTGCCCTGTTCTGTTCACTCCCTCTGAAGCATCTGGTACCGGCCACTGTCGGAAGACAGGACACTGGGCTAGATGGTCCATTGGTCAGACCCAGTATGGCCATTCTTATGTGCCACGGTCCGTGCAGCTTTGGCATGAGGTCTCTCCCCAGTCCCTGTCCGCTCCCAGTGGGAATTCAGGATGGTCCAGATGGGAAGGAGGCTAGTAATTCTGTAGGGTGCTCCGGGTCATGGGGAGGGTATCGCCCAGATCTCTGGATGGAATGTTTAGAGTCTCCCTGCTGGTCCCCATTGGAATTCTCTCCAGTGTGAGGACATGGATGGACACCCCAACTCGGTGTGAGATGGGGGAGCTGCTGGAGATGAGGAGTGTGTGTGTGGGGCGGGGGGGGGGGGGGTCTGCTGGTTAGTTCCACTGACCCTGATCTCCATGGAGGGGTCTCGCTTTGGGGAGGGGCAACTCAACCTGTGAACTGCATGTGGGCCAGGGCTGCTCCCCGAATCCCTCTGGCAGCTGGGCGTGTATCTGCTTGCAGATTCCCGGGACGTGCCTGCTCCCCGAGGTGACTCAGCGGGACCAGGGCAGGATCTGCGTGGTGATCGACCTGGATGAGACGCTGGTGCACAGCTCCTTTAAGGTGACCCCACGTGCTTGCTCAGGGGGTAGGGTGGAGGGGTGGCGCAGGGAGGCTGCTGGTGGGAAGAGACGGTGCGGGGGCAGGAGCAGGCGGGTCTGGCTCTCCGGACCTGGGTTCGGAGCCACTGCTGGCCATGGAGAATACTTAATCCCAGATCCCGTGAATGCCCGATAAACGGGTGACGCGCCGGGGGCTGGAAACGAGGCATGAGATGTTCTTGGAGGGACTGGGGCAGCCGTGGAGGTTGGGATCTGCTGCGCCCCGTTGGCTGGACAGCAGAGCAGCTGGGGGTTGGAGCAGGTCCTGGAGGCTCCTCCCCCGCCAAAGCAAAATTCTCCGACGCCATCTCCCCCAGAGCAGAGCCAGATGCATGCGGAGACACCACGGCATGCCTGCTCTCAGTCTGGTTTTCTGTTGCCCCTGGGGAGCTGGGGGTTGCCCCTCTGGGGCGCTGAGGAACCCCCTCTGCTCTTGTGCTAACAGACTCCTTGATTCCTTTTCCCCCTCAGCCAATCAACAATGCTGACTTCATAGTGCCTGTGGAGATAGAGGGGACCTTGCACCAGGTAAGCGAGTCCCTCTGATGGGGTGGGTGGCGCTGTGACCAGGATCCGTTCCAGGAGCGGGGCCCGTCCTGTCCTGTCTGCGAGGAGGCCCAGTTTCCTGGGGCCGCGGAGGATCTGCGGAGGCCGTAGCCCGGTTCAAGTAATCCAGGATAGGCTGTTACCAGGCAGCACGGCCTATTCTTGATTACTTGTTTCAGGAGGCGGCTGCTGGCGCCGGAGGAAGATGGACTCGACGGGGCTGAGTTCGGCGCCGGGCGTGGCTGGGGGAGGGGAGCGGTGACGGGACCCGGGCTGAAGCCCCCACGCTGGCTGCAGCGACGAGCACGGGGCAGCCCCTCCGTGCTGCTGTCGGTGCCCCTCCAGCTGGCTCCCAAGGGGCAGCTTGGGCAGGCGGCGCTAGGCACCAGACTCCATCTGCTTGAGAATAAGCCCCAGGCCAATGTTGGGGGCCCCCCCCCACTTGCCAGCAGAAGCAGGGAACCCGAGCATCGTCCCCCCGGGGGCTGTGTTCCCCTCACCCCGGAGTCTCTCCTGCCCCCTGCTGACGGCCCCTCCCCTCCTTAGGTCTATGTGCTCAAGAGACCTTTTGTGGACGAATTCCTGAGGCGGATGGGCGAGCTGTTTGAGTGTGTCCTCTTCACTGCCAGCCTGGCCAAGGTGAGGGAAAGCTGGGGGAGTGGGGTGCTCCCCACGCTGCCAGCCTGCTCCGGGCAGAGGGGACGTGGTTGGGGGAGGTTCTCTGTGCTGCTGGCCTGGCCGTGGCGTAGCCATGGCGGGAGGGGGGATATCTTCTAGGCAAGCCGAGCCGCTCCTGCTAGCCCTGGCGCTGGGCTGCGGGGGACGGCGGGGAACCGAGCCGCTCTGGCCACGTGCCGGCGGAGCCCGCGCTAAGCAACACGCCGCTCTCTTGCTCTTGCCAGTACGCCGACCCGGTGACGGACCTTCTGGACAAGTGCGGGGTGTTCCGGGCGCGGCTCTTCCGGGAGTCCTGCGTCTTCCACCAGGGCTGCTACGTCAAGGACCTGAGCCGCCTGGGCCGGGACCTGCACAAGACGCTCATCCTGGACAACTCGCCGGCCTCCTACATCTTCCACCCGGAGAACGCGGTGAGCGCCCCCATCCCCGGGCCACGGCTGAGCTCCTGGGGGTGGCTAAACGGAGCGGAGACAAGCCATGCCCCGTCGAGGATCTGGGCTCAGCCTGCCTTGACTTCTCTGTGGGGCTCCTGCTGACCCTCCCCTCCCGTCCTTGCCCCCCTGCAGGTGCCCGTCCAGTCCTGGTTTGATGACATGGCGGACACGGAGCTGCTCAACCTCATCCCCATCTTCGAAGAGCTGAGCGAAGCGGAGGACGTTTATACCAGCCTCGGCCAGTTGCGGGCGCCGTAGAGCCTCCAGCGCCCTGGTGGCCCATTTCTGCAGGGGACTTTCACTCAGTGCCTTCGCTAGCAGCCGGGAGGAGGGGGTCGGGCAAGGAGTCGGCTCCCGGGCCCCAGTGGCAGTGCCAGAGCCCTCGCCTCTCGGACCGGGGCGCAGGACGGGATGTTGGATTGCAAAGCGGGGAAATCTCCGTAGCCCCGGTCACAGGTCTGAGCCCATCTCCTGGTAGCCCTGGGGTCTCTGCACTGCGGGGTGCAGGGCTCCCCGCGCTCCGACTCGCAAACGGGGCTCTGCTTCCCGCCCCGCTCGCCTCCCTGACACACAGCGCCTGCGGATTCCACGTGGAGGGCCTGGCTGGGCGACTCCTGCCATGGGGGGTGGGGAGGGTTGTGCATCCCAATGCCTGCCTTCTCCCCCCACGTGCTGCTCTGAGAGCAACTGCCTGAACAGACGGCCAGCCTCCCGGCAGGACGGCCCTCCAGCTCTCCAAAGGGCAAACGCCAGCTGTCCCCGGCCCCTGGAGGCGTCCCCGGCCCCTGGAGGCGTCCCCGGCCCCTGGAGGCGTTCCGCATGGCGGGGCAGCTGCTGCAGCACCTTTGCTGTGGCTTTCTCCGAATCCTAGTCCCACTGCCGGTGCCTGGGGCTGGGCCAGAGCCCTGCCTTTGCCATCCCCCCCTCCCAGTCTCATCCTCCCAAGTGGAGCCACTGATCCCATTCCCTGTCACCCTCTCCCCCAGGAGGCACCTACTGAGGCCTCTGGAGCTGGAGCCAGGCCTGTCTGGGGTCAGCAACCCATCCCCCCGGCAAGGCCCAGGCCCAGGGACTCATATCCTGAGGGAGCCTCTCCATCCTCCCTTGTCCCTTAGCCGGCTCCTTCCAGGAGCTGGGTCTCCAGCCCAACCAGATTCCTCCTCCCTGGCCTGGATCCCAGCCTCGGGCCAGCGTCGCTCTGAAGGATGTTCCTGGAGCAGCCCCAGCTGGGCCCCGTGGCTCCCAACAGCTGCCGTTGCCCAGTGGAGCCGAGATCCTTGCCTCATACCAATTGCCGCTCGGCTCCGAAGGAGGGGGAGATGCTGAGAGCGGCCCAGCCAGAGGCTGCCGTAACGGGTAACTTTAAACCAAAGCCACACTCCACCTCCCTAGCCGGTTTAGCCCAAAGCAGGGGCCGGCGGGGGCACCTTTGAGCTGCAGGGAGACGGTCACGTTGCACTCCCGCTCCTACAGTCCAAAGCAGCGCTCTCTATCTAGGGGACCACGCCCACCCCCCTCTCTTAACTGCTGCCCTCCATGTGGGACATGGGGCCCACGGAAACAAGATGCTTCCTCCACCACCAGCAGGCTGGTGCCTGGAACATCCCCTCCGTGGGGTGCTGAAGGGGTCGGGAGTCAGTGTGAGAAGCCCCCCGACACTGAAGTCCCAGTGTGGTGACGTCTTCAGCTTCAACAGCTCCTGCAGGTGGTCTCAGGAAACGCTCACTGGAGCTGAGCCCCTTGGCGATAGGAGACTTTGGCACCAGCCCCCCCCCCCCCAACTCTGCGTTGTGCTGACCCCGCTCTCTCGGCACAGCTTGACTTCCCCAGACCAGCCTGGCGAGACGGGGCCCTTTCCTCTGATCTCCGTCTCTCTGATCTCCCAGCATTCCTCGTCGGTGCCACAACACAACCCCGCAAGGCCCGGAGGAATCTGCCGGGATGGAGTTTGTGGCATGTCATATCCGTGGCCGCCCCGACGAGCGGTGGCTGCTCCGGGCACCTCTGCCACTCCAGCATTGGCAACCGCCCCTCTCCATCTCGGTGCCTTCCCGTTCCTGCTGCACCTTCTGCTTTGGCATTTCCAAAGAGAACCAGCTCTTCGTCCGAGCCAAATGGCGACCGGGTTGCAGGCAGCATCCCCTCCCCGAGGGGGCTCTCGGGAGGGCTGGGCCGTGGCTGTCGCTCTGCCCGTGTGGCGTTGGGGCCTGGCGCACATCCCTCCGGCAGCAGGACAGACTCTGCTGGGCTGTTACACCATCAAGTGCCATTAGGCCACAGGCCAGTGCCTGCTGTGCCAGGGGGCACCCCCGTCTGGGCCTGGCCCCCACTGTGAACTTTGTGGGTCACGGCCCAGGCCCGAGGAGGGCACCATGGGACCAAAGCTGTGAGACCTGTGCCTGGCTGGGCCCTGGGGCAGGCCGACCCCCTTCCTGCCCTCGGGGGGTGCCGTTCTCAGGCCCAGCTAGGAAGGGCCGGGACCTGTCGGAGTGACTCAGAAGGAGAAGGGCTGACAGCCTAGGCTTGGGGTCGGAGAAACCGGGAACCCACTCCCCCTGCCCCTCAGGATCCGAGCCTTATAGGGGAGATCTTAGTAACAGGCCGGTGTGTGCCGGGACCGGGGACTCCAGCTCTGCACATTGTAGAGGGGAGCCCAGCAGGGAGCAGTGGAGCACCAGGCCTGGTGGGGGGGGGGGGCACCCCAACTTATAATAAATACAGGTTTCCTCTCCCCCCTCGAATTCCCTCCCTCTTCGGGAACACAACTCTACATCGAGCTTCTCAGGACCCTTCCACCCCAACCTCTGATGTGGCTTGAAATGCCCATGCTAGGATGTGAAATTGGTCCCTTGTTTGCTTCCCCTCCCCCCAGGTGGGGGCACCACCCCACACCTGTATTGTAGAAATTTTCCAGCAGTGGTTACCACATCTGACCTGTTCTCCCCCCCACACACACCTGCACATACCGGGGGGCCTGCCCCAGCATCCGGTCCAGCCCCACTCCTATCCCTCGTCTGCTGACTCAACGGCCTCTGGTGAGTCACCCCGAAATGCACATGGCCGTGGGAAATCCCCACCCCCTGTACTGCAGCCAGGAGCCCTGAGGACGGGGGAGTCTAGCTGCAGGTGCTTGGGCAGGTCTCATGCCTCCGACACCCCAACTGGCAGCAGGTGAGCCCCAAAATGCAGCCTGGCCGGGGCCTCGGAGCTGGGCTTCCCCAGGCCTCCTTCAGCATGCACATGCTCACCTGAGCTCACTGATTTGCCTTTCACCTGGGGCCGTGTTCCCCTAAACCCCATAGCTCTGCTCAGGCCCCCCCATTGCAATCGGGGGGGGTGCCCCCATCTCCCACGGTGGGGGTCGGTGCACTCAGCGTGAGGCCCTGGGGTGTCCCCCCCCTCCGGGGCGTAAAGACTTCGGTTGCTTTGGTGACACGGTCACTTCCTTTGGTTTGTTACATTTTTGTCTTATTCAAAAGAAAAAACTTGAAGCCGGCGCCGCTGTCTCGGTCTCTTTCTATTTTTGGAATCTTTGTATTAACTGCGATTAAAGCCAGGAAAGGAAACTGAATTGGGTCTGGTTATTGGCTCTGCTCGGTTGATAAGGGCCTGGCTTTTTTGTACTAATTGTCTGACAGTGCCCCCTACAGGCTCAAACCAAGACCGAAGGCCCAGTTTGCTGGGTGCTGCATAGACAGACAGACCGACCCCACCAAGAAGAGCTTAGGCCCTGATCCTCACAGGTATTTAGGCTCCTAGCTTCTATAGACTTCAAGGATTCAGGCCCTGCCATCTAAATACAAGGCAGATGAGGGGAAACTGAGGCACAGAACGGGGACAAAGGTCAGCAGCGGAGCCAGGATTAGAACCCAGGGCTCCTGAGTCCCTGGGAGGGGGTCTACCCTCTAGGCAATGCTACCCTGGCTGACCAGAATGCCGGCAGACGCCTTGAAAGTGGCGTGTTGGCGTGGAGCAAGATATGGGTCTAGAGAGCAGGTGCAAAGGGTGCAGCGGCAGGCTGGCGGTGGGCCACGGCTCTGGCCCTGGATGGGGTTTGCTAAGGAGGCCCCCTGGGGGGGGTGGGAGATGGGAAAGACCTAGAAGTCCCTGCTGGATCCCCATGGCCTGTGGCTGGGCTGACTCCCAGCAGGCCGGGGCTGCCCCATTCCAGGGCAGAGCGTCCCTCCTGCTCCGTGGGATCATGGCTGCCGAAGCCGGGGGTGGTGGGGAAAGGATGATGCTGGATCTGTGCCCTCAAGGCAGCGGGCAGGCGGTGATGCTCTGTCCCTTTGCTGGGTCAGCGGCTTCTGCTTTCCCAGAGTCGTCCCCGCCCCGGCGGCCGCTAGGTTAATAGGATCCGCAGCGTGAGCCTGGGAGCTCACCCCATGTCCCAAAGGCTGCTCTGCTGGTGCATTAGCTCGTGGTTCATGGCCATGTGCCTCTCCCCCACCCCCCTTGCAGCAAGGGGCCAGCTCTGGGCTTGGGGCCAATGCCGTTAACCTCCTGGTATCGGGGTAGCAGGAGCTGCTCCGGCTCTGGGGATGGCCACGCACGGGCCAGGACACTCAATAACCTACAGCTGCAGGCCTGGTCTGCTCAGGAGATGGTTGACTGTCACCAGCCAGAGCCCAGATGTTTGGCGCTGGGGTGGGCCCTACGCTCAGGGGGGCAGGAGGGGCTGTGGGGTGTGTCCAAGCCCTCCAACAAGGGGAGGATGGAGACACCCCCCCCATTTGGGAAAGGATGGGGCCCCCTTTCCTGGGCCTGTCCCCTTTATTAATTGCTTATCTTGCTGCTGCTTTTTCTCCCCCCCCCCCCCCAATCTCTGGTGCCCCCTCGCTGCAGGGTAAGAGCTGCCCCCTTCAGGGCTCAGCTCCTCCCCCCGCCCCGTCTCCTGCCTCGGCTCCGTGCATGTCGCCCGCGTGTGGTTAATTTCCCCCCCTCCCCTTTGAATTATTAATCAGCCCGAGCACTTAAGAAAAATCGATGGGAAGAGGGCGTGGACGGAGGCGAGCCAGGCGGTGCCGGCCTTCGAGTCCCTGCGCCCCCACCCCCGCTTCAGTGCTTTGACCAGAAACAAATAGCTGCTTTCCCTCTGCTTTGCCTATGTCGAGCGTGCGGCCAGCCCAGTGCTCATTGGCCAGGGCCGCCCAAAGGCGGCTGAGATGCAAACTCAGGCAAATATAACGCCTGGGGCCGGGCGCGCCGGGTGACTGGGGCTCGTGCCAGCGGCTGCCCCGGGGTCTCCTCAACAGCCGCCCGCAGAGGACAGCAGCGAATTCAGGTGAGTCCCGGCCTGACTTCGGGGTGGCCGAAGACCTAGATCAGCGGCCTTAGGGACCACTCCTGTCTTGGGCTGGGTGAGGGAAAGGGGCTGTCTGAGCTGGCCCCAGATCTGTGGGGCTCAGGGCAGAGGGTTAGTGGTGGGGCTCAGAGAAGTAACTTGAAGCCCCCCCCCCCCCATTCCTGTTGGGTTCCTGGTGCATAATGCCACCATGTGGCTGTTTAATGAGAGAACTGGCAAGGGCCCTCGGCGGCGACTCGGGCAGGGAAAGAGTGAAAATTATTGAATTAAGGTAGATCTAAACGGGGCGGGGGGAAGAGATCCCAGCTGAGGCAGGATCCGAGAGCGTCCATCGCTTGCGCCCTAGGCAGGAGGAACTGGTGCCAGCCAAGGGTTGGATCAGGGAATGCCATGCCAGGTTTCCCAGTACTGGGTTAGCTGGTGCCACATGGGGAGGGAAAGTCTGGCCCTGGGGTTTTCCCCCCAGGGGCTCAGCACGAGCAGACGCCTGCCCTGCGATCGGGCAATGGTCGGAAAGGGCTGGCCGTGTCGGAGAGGAACGAACCAGTGTGAACGGCCTCTGCCAACGCAGCCTGGCCCAGCCCCGAAACCAGCACATTCCTGGCTAATCAAACCCAGCTGATGGTGTCTCACCGAGCTGAGGCTCTCCTAGCGCTGCGGCTGGGCCGGCTCCCTGGGTCAGGTTACACCATCTGGCTTCAATGACTGAAAACTGGGGGAGACATGGGGGGGGGGGAAGAGCGGTTACGGTTTGGGCTGCCGTGAGCCCGGCCCCTCGAACCCATTCTCCTCCAGAGCCTGCAGTCAGGGCGTGTCCCTCCCTGCAGTGCAACGGGCAGCGTGGCTAGAGCAGGGCCCACGCCCTGTCTGTGCCCGGGCCAGCGTGCTGGGTAGCTGGACCCACCCCAGGCAGGGAGCACCCAGTGGGCAGGAGAGATCCCTGCGGTGTTCGTAAGTATCCGCAGGGTGCCCTTGGGGCTGAGCCCCTGACCCCGGCGAAGCCAGAGGCGCCCCAGCCCAGCTAGGGACTCAAGATCTAGGGCATGGAGAATGGATCCAGAGCTTAGAAAACCTGCTCTCTGCTGGGCTCCATCCCCGCCGGTGCAGGGAGGGCGGGAGAGGCTGCTGTGCAGTGTGAATGCGCAGCTCGGCCTGACTCCGGTTGGGGTGGCACAAGAACCAGCTGGGTGGGGCCCACATGCCCTAACAGCTTCCATCTGCTGGGGGGGCAGGCCAGGCCTGGGAAGGAGAATTCCTCCTTAAAGGGGCCATGGAGTCTCCCAAACCCTGGCTGGCGTGACTCAGGGAGAGGCGGGGGGATTATCCTGAGGAGCTGGTGAGCTCTGGCTCCAAGGGAAAGCCCCAAATACCAGGCACCAGCCTTTAGCATCACTCGGGGGAGGGGGACATCTGCAGAGGTGAGCCCCTGAGATGTGGGGCGGGGCAGATCCCCAGTGCTGTGAGACACGTGTGTGTGGGGGGGGAGCTTCTCCTGGGCGTTGGCTGCTGATTCACGCTGCACGCATCACCCCCGAGGAACATCCACCTCTCCTGGGTCCCAGGCAGCCCCTGTATCCAGGATCCGGGCTGGCCCTTGGTGTGTGTGTGTGGGGGGGGGTCTCATACGGATGGTGCACCCTGCTGAGCTGCTTGGGTCCCATCTCGTGCGATTTGGGGGATCCCCTACCCCACATTGCCTCGCTTCACCCCTTTAATTCCCCCCCCTCCCAAAGCATGCAGCTTCCGGGCAAAGCTTTTACAGAAGCTTTTTACACCCCTGGCTGGCTCAGCTGGGACGTGTGCGGCTGCAGTGTCGGGGATGGGCTGGCCTTGGCTCTGGGCTGACTGTCTCCTCTTGCCCAGCAGCTCCCTGGCGAGTCCCCGGCGCAGGGCGCGATGGCTCTGAGCAGCGCTTTCAAGGCTGTTAACAACATGCCCGGCCTCATCGTCTGGAGGGTCGAGGTAAGCGGGGCTGGGATCCCCTTGGAGCTCCCGAGCTAAGCCGGGTCTGGCCTGGTAACGAGGACTTGGCTGGGAGACCTCCAGAGTGCAGAAGAAAGGGGTATGGGCAGTGGGCTAGCGAGTGCTTCCAGTGGGCCACTTGTCTTTGCCCACGGCCCTTTCGTGGGGGCTGGGCTGGGGTGCGGTGCCCTGGCCTAATTCCAACTCTAGCCCTTTATGCTCTGTGTCCCTAAAGGCTCCAGTGTCCAGGCGGGTGTCTTCACTTCCTGTCCCAAACGATGGTGTAGCATTGTTGGCACAGCTGCCCTGTGCCCCTGGTGATCCATGTGGGGTACTCCCATAAACAGCTGCCACGCCCCTCCCCAGAGGTGGCTGCATTCCAGTGGTGGACGTGCAGGACTTCCATAAACAGCTGCCATTCCACCCCCCAGAGGTGGCTGCATTGTTGCCGACCACCAGGCCAATGCTCACCCCCAACTCCGTAGGCTTGTCCAGATCCCCGATGGCCCAGCCGGCCCCTCCCTCCTGGCTCTTCCTTTTGCCGGCCCTGCCCTGTCTGGGGGAGCTGAGCGGCCCATGGGCTCTGGCCGGCCCGCTGGGGAGAGTCTGGCTGGTGCTTTTCCCCTTGGGTGCACACCCAACGCACCATTTCGGCTGAGCTGCTGGTGGGGGGGGGGAGGTGAGGGACACTCTGGGAGGGGGGCTGTTGTGTGCCCCATGGCTGACGCCAGGACAAGAGGGGGCTGCTCTGGTCTCAATGCACTTCTGCCTCCCCCCCAGAAAATGGACCTGGTGCAGGTGCCTCCGAAATCCCACGGCAGTTTCTATGAGGGCGACTGCTACGTCCTCCTCTCGGTGAGTGCCCCCAGGGCTGCCGCCACCCCTGCTGGGGGGGAGGGTCATTACCCCCCCCCCCCAGGCCACCGACCGGCTGGGACTCGCTCCAGGGCCCCTCGCTCTGCTTTAACCCCGACGGGTGTGGGACAGACAAGCAGCTCTGGGAGGCTGCTTTGCAAGGCTGATCTCTTCCATTTCCTCCTTCCATTTCCCTCCCCTCCGCCTTGGAAGAGCTGCAGAGAAGGTGTGTGTGTGTGGGGGGGGGGGGAGAGTAGTGCTGATGAAAGGCGAAAGCAACAGCAGTAGGTTTAAGCTTGACAAAAGGAAATGCTCTGTGCGACGTCCTGTTAGCCTGTGGGACTCCCTGCCACATGATTTGGAGGCAATCGTTCTGGTTCGGATTAGCGCGTGAGTGAGGATAGAGCAAGGAGGGCTTGTCTGTTTCGGCTTCCGGGCGGTCCCCGACA